TTCTACTTACCTTGACCTATCACCAAGTGATAATACATAAGAAGGTTAACAAACTGAGCGCGAAACATAGCATCTTATTAGTACTTGTAAATTGCTGATAAATCTTAAGCCGATCAGAAGCTCGTTGAGCACGTCCGATCGAAACACAAAAAAAGGGAAATAAATGTCTTTTCTCAAACAAAGCATCTTTTGTTTTTAATACCAACGGTAATCTACCTATATATACTTATAAATATCTATACTAATATATAAACCTACAGTGTTTTACTATAACTACTGAACCGTGCATCCGATTGACTTGAAACTTGGTATCCATATAGAAAATACATGTACTTAAGGGATAGGCCAATATTTATATGAGTGTTAGACTCCCTAATAATAATGACAATAAAAATAGTGTTCATTTTAAATGCCCAGCGAAGCGGGCGAGTACGGCTAGTTAATATATATTATTTTCACAATTCAATTTTTTTTAATCGAACTTCAATTGTGTTTACTACACCATTCAAATGGCTGAAGAAGTATTTTTTCACAATTTTTTTTTTCCAAATTTTGAACTTTAAGCACTTCTCCTGTAAACTTTAAAATGTTTGCTTAAACCAAACAGCCTTTCATCCTCGATATCTATATAAGTGTTTGTATGTACGATCTGTGTAAATACTGAGCGACCGGCCCGATGTCAATGTAGTTATGAGAAATTCTTCTGAATCTCCAGTGATTCGGTGCAGTTCAGTAGCGATTGGATCAAAGACAAATCAAAGCAGCAATGCGGGTTTAATTGGTTTTAATTAAATAAAATTTTCGGATGTTTGTATCAGTGATACTCAAACTATAATACCCCCCAAAATAGTTGACGAGTATATATTTTTTTCAATATTTCTTTAAGATTTGAGAAAACGAGTAAATTAACAAAGACACATCAGTCATTTTTTAGTTACACTATTACATATTCCAGTGGTGCGTGATATTGTTATTGAAAAAACTTACTCGATCGTGACGGGGCAATGGAGAGCCGCCGTCGCGTCGCCCGAAACATGTCTTATCGGATCCCCCGGATTCACTCTCGGTGCTTGTAGGACCCTCAAGCACCGGTCACCGTCCTTATCGAACTTGTCGATTACGACGAAGAGTTTCACGAGCGAACAAACCCATAGATACAGCTCATGGGCCCGTCTTTAAAATACACACACCTCAGAAATGCCTATTTCTGTCGTGAAGCAGTAATGCGTTTCGGTTTGAAAGGTGGGGCAGCAGTAGTAACTATACTTGAGACCTTAGAACTTATATCTCAAGGTGGGTGGCGCATTTACGTTGTGGATGTCTATGGGCTCCAGTGACCACTTAACACCAGGTGGGCTATGAGCTCGTCCACCCATCTAAGCAATAAAAAAAAAATAAGCCCATAGATAAACTGAGTTTCTCGCCGTATCTTCTCAGTGGATCGCGATTACGATCTGGTGGTAAATTCTGCGAGACACTGCTCTTGCTAGGGCTAGTGTTAGCAAATTCTCAGGTTGAACCCGTGAGCTCACCTACCCGTCCAGGCGACGCTACCAGTAAATAGGTAAGGAATTATTATTTTTAAATATTGAGAAATATTCCAACAATAAGTATATACTCATAACAAAAGCTTATTTAAAAATTAATGTAAATACATAATATTTATAAATACTTCATTTATAATTAAACAACCGATAATTTAATATTCCAAACAAGATAATCCGTTAATAAAAAAATCGTAAAACACTTAAAACTATTATATTATGGTTGACCTACTTACTTTGTCTGCGGGTACCTGTCAGTTCCAACGGCGCTTCGGTAAATTAACCGAGAGCTTTGATTGCGGAATTGGAATACCGATGCTACAGATCATAGTTAACATTTCTGAAGTGTCAGACGCAACAGCAAAACCACTGAGCTGTGTATAATAAATATAAATCATTTGATATAAATAATACAACTTTATTGTGGAATTTTCAATTTCACGAAATAACATCATAATCCATTAACATTTATTTAACTTAAATAGAAAAAAAATATACAAAAATGATTAGTTTATTTTTATATGTTATTTTATTTTTGATTATAATTATTACCATTTGATTATAATTATTATTACAAAAAAAAAACAAGGACATCCTGTGTCGTCTTCTGTGTCTTGCCCATTATTAGCTTGTGGGTGATTTTGCACGAAAGTTTATTATTATTTATTAAAATTGTAATCGCTTGTCGTGGTTAGTCGGACGCATTTTAAATTACATATTTTAAAACTTTGTCGTCTTCATCCCGAGTCGAGCTAGCATCATCATCATCATCATCATCATCATCATCATCATCATTCTTTCCTATTACCCTCTGCTGGGGTGTAGGGCTCGAATCAATTTTTTCCATTTATATCGGTCTTGGGCAGTCTGTTCTAGCTCCTCCCACGTCATGCCTAAGACCTCTAGCTCCTGCTCCATCGAGCGACGCCAAGTTGTTCTGGGGCGGCCTCTCTTCCTTTTGCCAGACACTTTCTATGTCAGTGCTCTGTCAGTCGAGCTAGCATACTACACGCAATTATTATTTAAATTTGAAAGCTATTAAAAGTATCTGTTGAAGAAAATCACTCATACTTACTTCTATTATTCAACCACGTGCTCAGTACGATAAATATATGGACATTTAATTTTATATATAATTTATATTATATTGTAACTATATTCTATATTATGTATACACTTGAAACGACACTTATACAACAAGTACCTAAATCGTAATATTAAATAATATTACAAGTTGAAACCCTTCATCTATGTTCACCGCATTTTCCTGCATTGTCATTTGTCCAAAACTATTTGCAAAATTCCAAGTCTTAGCTCTTAGCTTATTCAGAAATTAGTTACGAAAACACATTTCGGAAGATCTATAATTGGCTTTTTTCTTTCTTCAATTAGACTGAAGGAGATTGCGGAGCACTGCAGGCGGTCTTTATGTATTCTTTTATATTATAATTTATTCCTGTAGGTTTTCCAACAAATTATTTAGAAGACAATTAGACAATTCCCACCGAACAAAGAATATATCACTTTAATAAGATCGCTAATAAGATAGCCAAGCTAATAAGACAGATTAGCTAGTAGAATCGAAGTACAATTAATACCCTAACTATAAAACTCGGAAATGTCTGTACTGTGAGATTAATGTTAAGAATTTTTTATATATATATTTTTTTAATCCATCAGGCACCTAAGATAAGGATAAACTTAATTTCAATTTCGCTAGCTAAATTGTTTTCCTCTCTGTACTAATTGGGAATAAAAAAGTACTTTTACTGGTGGTAGGACCTGCGTCCGCACGGGTAGGTACCACCACCCCGCTGTTTCTGCCGTCAAGCAGGAATGCGCTTAGGTTTGAAGAGCGCAGCAGCCGTTGTAACTATACTGAGACCTTAGAACTTATATCTCAAGGTGGGTGGCGCATTAAAGTTGTATATGTCTATGGACTCCAGTAACCACTTAACACCAGGTGGGCTGTGAGCTCGTCCACCAATCTAACCAATCAAAAAATAATAATGCTACGTACTATATGAGTACGAGTTTTAGCGGTGGCAGCGTCTTGATTCTGCCTAACATTACAGACGTCCTTAACTGACGGTAAACTCACCATCCAGTAAACTGTCTCGTCTGCCTACAAAGACAAAAAAAAGTTAGTACAAAATTTATTTTTTAAGATCGCGTTAATAGAGAACATAGATGATATAAATTCTCAAAAAGTCCAAAACGTTTCTCCATTTCGTATTTATACAGGATAGAACTGGTTTTTATTACAGTACATATGACTACGGCTCAACGCACATTCGGTGTTACGTGGTCAGGTTTTTAAATTACAAACGATTTCTCCTTCAGACCAGAAAGCATGCCGGCAAAATTAACCAGGACGGAAGATATTATCTTCTTCAACTGTGAATAGAATATAATTGAAAAAGATAAGACAACGTGGATGTCACGGTTGTGGTAGAGAACTATCCAAGATTGGACTAATAACAAACCTACTATACAAGACGTTTAAGGTTAAGATCTTCAGCATTCAATTGAAAAAATGAATGAATGAATGAATGTCGTTATTTACGCCGTCGACACCTAACAACAAACTGAAACATTATGAAGGTTTTGAAGCAAAAACGAGCGCGTTATACCGAAATCAGTCGATTTTGACAAAGTAAATCGACTGTTAAGAATGACTGCTGATTTATTTTAAACTTATAGTCCAACTCATTTGTTACTAAAGCAAATGAAGAACAGAAATGTTCTTTAAATGTTAAGCCCTAAGCAAAACCGGTCCGCTTTGCAGGCCGATCTTCGTTTTGACTTTGATCCAATCGCTACAAACTTCACAGTATCACCCGCTCAGGCAATCTGAAGATCTTCGAAATCTATGTATAAGGAATATCATCATCATCGGCTTTTGCATATATGTATATAAAATATATTCATTGAATCGATACCTTTTATATTCAGATATTTCGCCAATATTCTTTTATTTTCTGTCAAATTTACCACAATGTAATGGCAAATTTACACGCATAACATAATACATACTAGTACAAAACTTGTTGATTTGATAAAGGGTTCAAAGTTCCTAATAAAATTTTATACAATTTCATTTCGTTATAATAAATGAGCAATATATTGTGCTGTGTTCCCTTTTTAACGTCATTTCTCGACGGGATTAAGATTCAAACTGTCAGTTTACGTTAAATCAAACATGATCGACTTTATTCCCAGGGACACAAGAGCCTCATTTGAAAGGAAGTTTTCAGATGATTGCACTATCCTGTAACAAACTATATCCAAAGAGCGAATATAAATTCGAACAAGATCATTTATATTCTAAGCATCAGAAAACAAGGTTGAATTATCTCATGGGACCGCAGTTAAGCCGTTTTGTCACAAAAGGACGAATTTTCATGTGGGCGGGTATCGATCGGCGCTGTTCAGTGCGCGCCCTGATGGAGCTTCACAGTAAACACAGCACGCTCAGTGTGAAGAAGACGTCCCAAGATGCACGCGGTCACCACGGTACTAGTAGCAGCCATCGGGATATGTGCTATCGCCAAATCCCCAGGTTAGTAAATCCCAATAAAAGTTTTAATTAAATATAATATATTTTATCACAACTGATAAGGAGTTTCCCGCGTTAATATTCTGTGAATTATATGTACTAAAATATACTTATACACTTTGAAATATATTACGAGGATTTCGTGACGGACGAAAACTACCTATTAGAACTTTTCAAAGTTGAATGAAAACATCTGAAACTTTTGTAAACAAATGATACCACCTGTTACACGCGGCGTTTAGCTCTCAACTGCTTCAACTATTAGTGTTCGTTATGACCGACATTTTATTGAATTTACTTTAAAATTTAAAATATTTTAAATAACTTTTAAAAAAATATGTTACTTCTTCATGGTTCAATTAATATTCAAATGTACCTTCAAGCTGATTTTAATTTAGTCTACTTATTATTTGTTTAAGAATCTAGTTCTAGACCTTCACAGAGAAGTATATGTGATTAAAAAACGAACTTGTGATTCCGAGTCATGATAATTACAATACTTTAAAAATTAGGAAAATTCTAAAATAAAACAATGAACACGACAATTAAAATTAAGATATTATTTATATTCAGTTCTGTAAATTGTACTTACAGAATTATTAATGAAATTGTCAACCATAAATTTGTATCTACAGAGCAGGTTTTAATAGCCAGATTTTTTAAATTTAATTTTACTTCATGTCTAGTTATGAATAATGCGTACCTAACATAAGTAGCATGAAATTGAATAATAAGAAAAGTTCTTTGCAATGAACACCGTGGAAAATGAAAAATTTGTGTTATAGTTACTTTTCGTAGTAATTTATTTTGTATCTTTTCATGCAATTTGTGTAACAGTTCATTAAAACTACTTTTACGACTTAATTTCTTGTTCTTTTAATTGTGATTATATCATTTTTATGATCACATTCATGCACATTTTCACAGCCGAATCAGTCGTAGCTCACGAAAACTGTAATGTATTTATAATGTAATTTATTCGAAAGGACTAAAATAATATAATACATATATAATCATAATAAAAAACGAGAGGTTATAAACCCTAAAGTAGTTTTAATTATCTTTAAAAGTCGCCAAAGCCGAAGAAAGCACTATGCTTTTGGTAAGTTCACTCGATTCGGTTCCACCGTCTTCCTTATTTCAATTACCAAGCACAATGCTTTCGGGCGTGGAAGTTAGAATAGGGTAGACGTTATTCCAATGAAACTTTAACCTCGAAGAGCCGGGATGTGGCAAGAAATTCACGCTGAGCTGTCGAATTAAGTTTGAATAAAGAAACACCAGGTGGCCCGTCCGTTCAAGCGCTCGTCGTCTGCATCAAGAAAAACGTTGAATAACTTTTACTTCATAACAGGAAGCAGAGTAAAAATCAGACATCAATTTACAAGTTTTTTGCAGAAGCAGAAGTTCATAAACAACCAAAAATCTAAATCTTAAGATAAAATAAAATGTGCGAAATATTTAATTTTACTACTTCCTATCCGTATCCGTGGCCTTGTAAGTATGGTGCCCCGTGTCGCCAGCACATCCCGAACATAACCTTTATTCATAATCGTTTGAAAACATACCTGTAATAGAAAAAAATAATCTGTAATACAAAGGATGTTGTAAACTTCAATTTTAATTATTGTTGGTTGTAGTATATGTACCCAAGTCTATCACTTACATACTTACCTATACACACATACATATATATTGACATGAATAGATGTACATGCACTTATTTAGATTGGAAGTGAAGGACGGTGGTTATTCCAATGCAATCGAAACGACGAACTCATATGTCAAGGTGCATTACTGAAGCGGTATTTCTGTGAAATTGAGTAGCTGCTTTCCATCAGAATGCCTAAGAGCTTTTCTACTCATCTTTGTACAATAAAAAGAAGTTTTCAAAGGATTTTTGGTTAAACAAAATGTCAAACACAACAAAAGCCTCAGATGAAATAGCAACATGATTAGTCCTACTAAAGTAATTTAGGTTGACGTATAAGGTAAATATACTCTAAAATATAAAAGTGGACCTTCATAGCAAGCTAAAAACTAAAAAATAAAATAAGCTTTTTGGTCCTGGATCGGAATATTAGGTCAACTTAATCAAATTATTGTATCGTCATCGGTCTTTGATACGTGAGCAAGTTTATAAATTAATCGGACGTCTTGAAGTTGGTATAAAATTAGATTGAAAGATTCTGTACGTAGATAGATAATTAGATAGATACAGGTCAAGCCAATAAAAGCCTCTTAAAACAACAACCTCATAACAAGAGGAGATTCTTAATTCTTTCCGTATGATTCATTTGAAAAATAATCTTACGACCATTTAAAATAAGTACATAAGTACATTGTACAAAACAACATCACTAAATAAGTATACGAATACTACTTTATGAATTAGTGATTATGCGCTCCGATAAAACAATAAAAGTCACCTTGGTAAAAATAGACATTTGTTCAAACTTAAAACTCAAAGTAAGATATAGCATTTTATCGCACATAATTTTACAACGTTAATAGAATATAATATCGCATTAATCAAAGACTAATCGAAATATCTTGATCAAACCAAATTTCGTTGAAAGTTTCTTGTAAGTGAAATATGACAATGTTTAAATTTATGTTTAGCATAAAATAAATACATTTATAGGTTCACTGTGAACAGATTTTCATTTTGGTTTTGTTTGTTATAATTGCAAATCGTTTTTATGAGACAAACAAAAAACATCAACTGAACTCAAAAAATTGTTATCAATATTCTGAACAAAAACTATCTAGAATTCTTAGAATACTCAAAAATAGTAGGAAATCTCCCAATAATTATATTTCTCATAATAAGAACTAAAACATAATAATACCCATATGACATTGAAATTATACTTCTATCTAACGCGGCGAGATTAACTATTTAACTCAATAACGCAGTTCCAGTCGATGTATCAATCTAATATCTTATATACCTAATCATATTAACTTATTATGTATGTACATAAGTCTTTTATTGAAATTTAACCTTATTTATATGGTGGCTTAATGACTAGTCGCGTACTTTGCGGTTCGAACACTTCATATTGTTTCAGCCATCAATGTATTTATTATAATTAATTGACAAACATTTTAACGTTCTCTGTTCTCAAAGTAAATGTATTTATTATTCGCTTAATGTCGGAGTTGAAATTATAAAGTCAGCTTTTCTGTTTAATAATTACAGCTAGTTAACATTAAATTACGAAACCATTCCAATTATAACTCAAACAAACATTTCTGTGGATAATTTCAGAAAATTTAACATTCAGTTGCAATTTTTTCATTCAGATAAAATAATAAAATACAACATTACTTATAAATTAAATTTGTGTAAATAAAGTACACTCGATTGTCGTGAGATCGTGTGTTAAAATAAGGCTCAAAAAAATCAGTACAAATTTGATTTTATTTATGTATTTTGTAATTTATCTGAAGCGAAACTAATAGAACCTAGTCTGAGTTGACTAATGGAACTTTTAAGCGAACGAGGAAATGCTTTTTACTAAACATTAGGTATTTTTTAAACATTATAGGGCTCAACTTACGATTCTAACATAGTCCGTTTGAAAGTCAATTAAAAGTTTGTGAAAGTTTGAATAGAAGAATTAATTAGTATTTTGCAACATCGAGAAACCTGGAAATTCTATTAAGTTCACCAAGGCAGTGTACTCAGACTCAGTCATACTAGTAAGGGTTTGGTAAAGTAAAGTAAAAACTCAATTAGAAGTTCCTGAAAGTTTAAGTAGAAGAGTTAAGTACTATTGCGCAATATCAATAAATCCAAAAAATCTATCCAATTAACCTAGCCAGTTCACCTCGTGACTGTCTATTCAATTCACCTAATCATACAAGTAAATATCTTAATTGTATCATTTTTATCTAAATTTGTTGGTTACGTAGGGCATTCATTGTGGTACGCTAAGAGAAATACCTAAATTCAGTTATTAAGATACACGGGCTAATTATCTGAAACATGATTGATGTTATTTTCGACCGATACCGTAATTTATCTAATAATTTGGCGTTTCAAATTTTTTTTGTAATCTCAGCCAATACACCGTACTGTTCATGGTACTACTATACACATTAACCTTACAGTGCCAAATAAGAGAGATCTGTAATTGATACATTATTTACCAAAAGAGTCCTTCACGTGAAAACATCCCGGAAATATAATGACGTAACTAGATATATTTACATATGAAGCACTATGTAACTAAATACACCTGAAATATCTTAGAGAAACAAAAGAGTGATGATACACAAGTGGTCTGATTGGCGTTTATTAAGTGCTGAACAGAATACACTTGTCGACCGTACAAATGAATTAAGTTGTTAACTTGTAATGGCGTTCCATTTCAATCACTTGATTGGACGTATGAAGAAATCGTAAGGAAACTTGTTTAATGTTTTTGTTGTTTAATCTCAAGTATAATCACAAAATACATACTATTAGTTTTTTAGTTTAAGGTCAGGCAGTTCTTATGAAAATCTTTTAAAAGCTTTTGATGTCAAGTAGAAAGCGCGTGTTTCAATTTATCCACGTAAATAAATGATGTGTAGAATGGGGTAAAAATAAAACCACGTGTAAACTATACAAGGCTTGAAAATGTTAGAATGACCTAGACCTGGTTATACCAGCATATTTTACATCAATTTTACGTGTTCTAGCTTACATTATTCACGATTTGCGGCCTGTCATTTTGTGAAATTGTTAGTTGTGATTTTAATACAGTCGGCTTTGTGGCTTTTTAATCCAGTTTAAAGAATGATATATTATCAATGAAACTATATCGGTGCGATATTACAATGTATAGGAACAATGTTCTGATATAAATGGAAAATATCATAGCATTGAAACTAAGAGAAGTTTCCTCGTCCATGAATTCGATTAAGGTTTTTTTTCGTCGACTCGCATTCGTTTCAAGATTTCAATGATTGAATCAAGTCTAAAGTGCAATACATCAGAAGTGCAAACACTGTGGAGCATCGCTACTAAAACCTACCCATCGGCCATTGCGAGCTAAATACACAAGCACTCAGCGAACTGTGATCGACTTGAGTAAATTTACTTTATCGCTCAACGTCCTCGATATTGCTATTAAATTCAATCTTGTTCTGCTTTAATAAACTTAATTGTTTGTCTAATGTCAGCTTACCAATGAAACACGTACATTTAATTAATTCCTAAATTGTGTTTCAAATATTCACAATATTAATTTAAAAAAATGTATGATAACTCATTTACTATGGTCGATATTACTAAAATAAACACTTTTTTTATTGTTTAGAACGGTGGACGAGCTCACAGCCCACCTGGTGTTTACTGGAGCCCATAGTTATCTACAACGTAAATGCCACCACCCATCTTGAGATATGAGTTCTAAGGTCTCAGGATAGTTACAACGGCTGCTCCACCCCTCAAACCGAAAAGTATTACTGTTTCACGGCAGAACTAAGTAGGGTGATGGTACCTACCCGTGCGGACTCATAAGAGGTCCTACCACCAGAAAAAACTTCCAGATACTTAAAATCACAATTGTAATGTAATAAATGAGACGTGTCCTGCGGCGGTCTCACAAAAAGTTCGTAATTCGGAAACCATAAAAGTTAAAACACCTCGCATAATAAGAGTTTCATTAAGAGTTAGAGAAAGTTATTCATCACAAACAAAAACTACGGAATAATCTGTCGTACTTATTATATTATAACAATTACAACCGGCGTTGTCGGAGTCATGTCATTTAGCATGATAATAACCATCTTATGTGTTAATCTTTGCCGGAAATTTCATATAAATCCACTACGCCGTTATTGCGTGATTGAATAAACATTGATCCGCATAAACATATTATAAGATAGTATAGATTAAATAGTATAGACTTCTACAGTTCTTTTTATTAATGCAACGGCATTGTATCTATGCGTAGCGAGACCCTTTTTTGAACATTGGTTTTTTGTTTTATATATTATACTAGCGTTCATACTACTTACTACTGCGTACGTTAATTATACTACGACAGAAAATTTACATGCATTGGCGAGCTTCTCCATCATAGAATGAATAATAGCTTAGGAATTTAAACATACATATTAATTCGCTTCTAGTTAAATTGTTATTGCATAAAAGTTATTTTATCTTATAAACATCACACCCAGTGCCGCCACACACTTTAACAACATATTAAATTGCATATAGGGTTCGTTCTACCCTTCAAGAGGCGGGAATCAGAAATAGACAGCGCAGTGACACCAATGCAAACTAACAACCAACACCATTAAATATTTATCGGATTTTACACCTATTTGTATCATGTCGTTGTGGCCTAAAGGATAAGACGTCCGATGCAATCGTGTTGAGCGATGCACCGGTGTTCGAATCCCAGGCGGGGTACCAATTTTTCTAATGAAATACGTACGCAACAAATGTTCACGATTGACTTCCACGGTGAAGGAATAACATCGTGTAACAAAAATCAAACCCGCAAAATTATAATTTGCGTAATTACTGGTGGTAGGACCCTCTTGTGAGTCGGCGCGGGTAGGGTACCACCACCCTACTTAGTTCTGTCGTGAAGCAGTAACTCGTTTCGGTTTGAGGGGTGGAGCAGCCGTTGTAACTATACTGAGACCTTAGAACTCATATCTCAAGGTGGGTGGCGCATTTACGTTGTAGATGTCTATAGGCTCCAGTAACCATTTAACATCAGGTGGGCTGTGAGCTCGTCCACCCATCTAAGCAATAAAAAAGAATCCACTAAACTCTTGATTAAAGCCATATCTACTACGTTAACTAATAAATTACCAAAAACTTTCCAACTCAAGTCAAAATTATTTTTGGTCGGCTGTTAATGGTCGGTGTTTTTTTTAATCCACAATGGTTACTTTAAATGAGGTTCTATAATTTTACAGTAACACAGTATTATTTTAAATAAGATTACCCTCTTTTCTTAAATTAGATTGTTGATTTTCGTATTCCCTAAATAAATATACTTTCAAGAAATTGTACAAACGCTTCTACGTAACTTCAGGTTTCGAATTGTTGCAACACCAAGTTGAGTTCTATTCATATTTCAGTTAAAAGTTTTCTATTGATGTAAAAACTGTCGCGGTCTACAACAACTGTTTTCCAGTGAAATCCTCTGACGGCGTAACTTTAAATAGAATTTATTACAAATTCTTAGAACCGTTTTCAAAACCTGTACATATATAATACAACTAGCGGACCGCTCCGGCTCCGCTCGGGTCTTTAATAAAAATTTCAACGATATATGACGTTGTTTTATTTTTTTAAATAAAAGAACACTTATTGCGGCATAACTATAATAGTTACATATATGCTTTTGTGACACTTTTTGTAAATAATAATGTGTTCTACAAAGTCGTAGTACATTATTTTATTCTATCATCAATAGTTTTCGCAGGGCACGCGATGTAAAGAATATTTTAGGTATTTTTTTTACATTATTGGAGTTTTAGTAAGGATCCCCCATTTTTTTTCAAAAAAGATTATAGCCTATGTCACTCGGAAATAGTGTAGCCTCTAAACAGTGAAAGTATTTTTCAAATCGGTTCAGTAGTTTCGGCACCTATTCAATACAAATAAACAAACAAATATTTCCTATTTATAATATTAGTATAGATTAAAGTAGGAGTTTATTACTAATTAGTAGAAAGATAAATGATAGGATGCAGATACACACAACCTTTATAAATTTAACGATTTCTGTACTAAGCATTTTTATGACTGTAGGGGCTACAACAGCGCCGACAATGCCACAAACTATGAACTCCGGCGAAGAGGATAAGCAAATTCCTTCTCCGATGAATTACTTCAGGAATGTTATCATACCCAAATACATGATTCCCCACTACATTAAATACGTCGATAAACCTGGATTTTTGCCGCAACCAATCGTATTCACAGATTCGAAACCAGACCTGCTGACTAAGGTGAGTCAAACTTTAGATTTTGTAACATCAGATTAATTGTAATGAAATTTAGCTCATTGAAATATTGAAACAGACTTGCTGTGTTCTTGAGTCTTAAATTCTCTCTTAATTTTGTGATTCCAGTCTTAAGTTTATAGAAAAAAAATAAAAGTATAAATGGAACTGAGCAAACCTTAAATTAAATTAAATTAAATTAACTGAGCAAACCTTAAATTGGCCCCTGGCCATGGTATATTCGATATATCCACTACTTCTTAGGCATATCTTGCATTTATGTGCATTTATGTTTACTATTATATATTTATATATTTATCACTTACAGACATGAGTCATTCTAATAAAGCTATCTTGCTTAATTACATAATAATATATGACCGTCTTAAGCCTTTTCCACAAGAACCAGCTATTCGAATCGGGATTTTTGTCTTCTTTTGTTGGTATAAAATAAAATATTAAATATGTCAGTTTTATAACAGCGCGGTATTTACTTTTCCAAATCACTCAATTTCAACCTCGAAAAACATAATTTGGTTGCACGGGCAACTTTGGGTTCGTAAACAATTTTGAATGTGCGTAAATTATTTGTTTGGGAGGCGGCACTCACTCTGTATTCTTCAAGCTATGGTAATGGACCGTGAGTTCACCTAATAAAGATAATTTCATTCGATTTGTCAAAATGATAGACTTCTGAAATTAATTTAGTGATACTGATCAAAACTCTGGAGTTCTGTTCGGGAAAAGATTAAAATGTAATATTTTAAATTAAATTATTTATATAAATTACTTAATTAAAATGTATAAATGCAGGAAATAATTCACCTTAATGAAATGGAAACCGATGAAAATGATGAAAAGGAATTCAACGACTTGATAACTAAAAACTTCATGTCCCGCATAATGGAAGTCGGAAGCCCCGTCCCAAAACAAGTTTACTCGAGTGGCGGTTCAAATAAAGCCGAAATAAACCTGAAACATGCTAACATACCCGCCCCACATTCAGACATAAACTCAGCCAGACCCATTGTGCAGCCCCAATCCTTCAATATTCCCGATGAACCTAAAGAAATAACTGAAAAAGAAACAAAAGGTTTTGCTCTCACTCCATTCAACAAAGAATATTACGAGGAACAAAATATTTCCGAGAATACCAGTAAGTGCAAATTTAGGTCGATTATATTTGATGAAAAAATCCTTCAAATTCTAAATACTATCAAATATTTTTTAGACGAAACTATGCCAAATGATTCTGTCGAAATTGCTGAACTCGAGGCTTTACCTAAATTAGAACCTCGACAGATCCGCCAGAATCCCAACCTTGGAAAGGCCAAAGCCCTGGTTGCTGACGATCTGGATAAACTTAAAATTGGACTGTAAGTAAAAACCTATACATTTGAATTATTTTATTAACACTTCGTCTGAGCCTAAAATTTCTTTTTCCGTCGCAGTTGTTGTTTATATACTATTCTATAAAATGACATGGATTGAACAAGATTTCGCTTAGTATTGAATTTAACAAAAATTCACTATTATAACTACTCCGCTTTCCGAGAGTATTTTCTAAATAGTAAATTTATTTTTAACGAAGGAACAAAGCGATCCGATGTTCACGATGGAAAATTAAATGAAGTCTGTAGTAACATCGTTTGAAGGTTTGAAAGCGTCCAAGTTCATAACTAATTTATATAGGAAATGAAAACTTGACTCTCTTTGAAATGGAAATTATGTCGGAAATTTAGTCAAATGAAAAATACCTATGAGAAATAATTTTATTACATGAATAGTTGCTACAGAAAATAAATCTTGAGTAATACGTTATGAACTTAAAATTGATGTTATGTGTGAATAAGTTAGTTAAATTAATATCTTAGAAATCTTAAATTAGATCTTAATCTAAGATGAAATAATAACGTATGCTACGTTATTATTTCTAATACTTAATAATATTTTAAAAATCTAAGACATTCAAACACAACTTCTAGTTTTTCCAGTTAATCTGCCTGATTTGAAAATTATTCACTGAATATCTTTAACTATTTACTCTTACTTAGTTTGAAATTTATTCAACTCATTGGCTGAGAAATATTTCTCCGTGAAATGCACTGAATCGGATTCCTTCATAGACTTCCTTGTGTATAACGGGTAAACGATTTATGTTCACACAAACAGTAATTAAAAAAATTGTGTCTTCACTGTATCGGAATTTGTTACTTCTAGTTAGAAGATCATAGTTTTATCACATTTTAGAGTAAACAACTGATGATCAATATTTTAAATACAATATCGTGTTACAGAAACACAATTTAAAAAACAAACAAAAAGAAAGAACAGGACACTCCTCCAACAATGAATGTATTTTGAGGTTTCATTTAAATCTGTCCATTGCTCATTAAATAATTTTATGTGACGACTTTTACGTTTCGACTAAGCTGTATTCAGTCGACAAGAAAGTGTTAATTACAGGGCAAATAAGGAGTACCGATTACCTGTCTCGTTACTGCCAACTAATCTGCGCTGGTTGAAAATCACTCATGATGACGATGTTGACGAGAGGTGAAACTAATATGTCGAACACATAGAATACTCCCCACCACTCACACCCGACTAATGCCCCTAGTTGTAACGCATGGGATTCACGCAACAAAACGATATCACCTATTTGTTTTGTTGTTACTCACTTATTTTTCGATTAGAAAGAAACACGTGTTTGATTAAGTTATCGCCTACGATCAACATTATGACTTATACTTTTGGTCTTAAGACGGCACGGTGCATATGAGCATTCGATATTCTCAAACGTTAATTTATTTATGTTTTCCAATATTTATATAACAATAAAGAAAATACAAGCAATAAACTTTTCCAAAAATTTTCCAAAAATTGTTGCAGCTTCTTAATTACTTAATTTTGCAAATAAATAAAAATGTATATCTAGTCTCCCCTATTGTTTACGAAATCATAAGAATGACGTGATATTCGAACGAAATCAAACATTCTGTTTGTTATCTGTATTTAAAGCCCTTTTTCCAATAATTTCTTGTACAATTTGTCACTTATTCAAATTCAGTGTATATTTCAAAATACAACGTGAAAACATAACTTTTAAGCATAAAAAGCAAAATAATATTCTAAATTTATTATATTTATATGTATATTTCATAAAGGATTTAAACCGATTACATACAGTAATACAAATAACAACATTGTAGATATCTTCAACATACTACAATCGTTAGATGTTTAGCTTAAACGCTTGCCTTACAGTAGTGTCACTTTTAATTAATACAAGCTTACAAAATGTACATATAACATCGCTGAAGCCCTAACGTCACATAAACATGCCTAAAAAGCAGCAAACAATCAATCTAGTTTCACTCACTGTGTGTGTGTGCACCTTTTTTTAGAATTATAAATTTATGTAGCTCTACAGATATGTATAAATAATCGTGGTCCAAGACGAAATATATTATCGAAAATAACCTTTAAAATTAGCCTCTAAGCCCAGCCCTTGTTTCAATCCCCAAAAGGGATTGTAAGTTTTGTAATTTATCCAACATTAATTTTAATACGGTAATAATTTTCGATAATGTTTTGTAAAGTCGAATCGATTAAGTTACATTACGACTTGTAACTACGAAAACAATGAACGCTGATATTCAAATAGCTATGAATGATGCTCTTGCTGGTTAGATTTCCAAAATGTTGATAAAATTTCCGTAATTATTGTAATTAACTTATTTGTGCAGCTATGGCGACGATGGTTCCACGAATAAACCTCATCATATTCACTTGCTGGAATCCGGTTCTTCTGATCCTTCCGACTCTATTTTTGGTGTTGCTCTGATGGCGGCTATAGGAACAGCCCTCACCATGGCCATTCTAGGATTTGCTTTTGGCTGGTACACGTAAGTTATGAAGCCTCTCTCATTACGTATTTTTAATCTTGTTATATACTTGACACCGGTAATTTGATTCATACAAAATAATTTGTATTCGAAACATAAAAGAAAGCAAACTCAATATTTCGAGGATAACCTACGTGGATGACATTTTCTTAGGTTTTCGGGATTCGTAAACACGATTATCAAACATTTCACAGTTTTTCTTAATCTCTTTATTGTTTTATCTCTTAATTTACTGAGACATCAAATGCGTTTCTAAAATTTCGGTTTACGTGATTGGGATACGAGATTAATTGAATTCAATTAATGCTTAAAGCTGTCTTATACTCAAAGAGTTTCAGAGAGTTTATTTGAAAGCCGGAACTACAATCTTCAGTATAACGCTAATGGAAATTGAAGACGCTGATTCTATTATTTTTTTATTGCTTAGATGAGTGGACGAGCTCACAGTCCACCTTGTGTTAAGTGGTTACTGGAGTTCATAGACATTTATAACGTAAATGCGCCACCCACCTTGAGATATCAGTTCTAAAGTCTCAGTATAGTTACAACGGCTGCCCCACCCTTCAAGCCGAAACCCATTACTGCTTCACGGCAGAAATAGGCGAGGTGGTGGTACCTACCCGCGCGGACTCACAAGAGGTCCTACCACCAATAAAAATTTGACTAGCGCATTTACATGAAATTTGGAAGCAGGTTATCCAAAAGAGCCAAGGCTGCTGCTGATGTAGATTACCCGGCTTACGGCGTGACCGGACCTACTGTCGACAGCTCCGGCGACCGCAAGCTAGCTCAGTCCGCCCACATGTATCACTACCAACACCAGAAACAGCAAATCATTGCAATGGAGAGGTATTATAAAAAATTATTGAAAAAAAAACAACGTACTTTTTTTTCTTAATTCAAAGGTATACCACGTTCACTTAGTGTTAAAGAGTTATTGTACACTTACTTACCTTCATATTTGAATTAGAAATCACCATTAGTTGATTGGGTATTCTAACCTTCAAAGAGGAATACGTAAATGCTATTTGGAACAAAAAGAACCACGGAACCTTGTAAGTTCACCAGACGCTCTAATAAATTAAATTGGGTTATTAAATAAGATGAGGATAATAATGCTAACACGGATGATCCGAATCTAAAAGCAGAGACACTGGAGATAGCGATCACTAACTTGTGTTTTAGAAAAATATTACTCGGTTAGACCATTTCCACGAAATATCTGCCGGAAAAATAAATAAATTTTACAGTATTTTCTGGGCATTACAAATGCTTTTCTTCAAACGTGAGATTCTTTCATGGTAAGTAGAGAATTTAGTTCCTCCTGATACTACTGATACCACTGATGATTAACTCAATCCCATACTTGTGCACTTTCATAGATCTTAGATGGTTAGTAGGCCACCTATATTAGAAACTTTAAATCTGAAACAAAAAAAAACACTAAAATAACTAAAAGGAATAACATAACCTGACAGCTCGCATTCCCTACATATTGTTACAATAAAATTATAGTATAGGATAGTGAGTAATAATTGGCATCTTGTGAGTCCGTACGGGTAGGTACCACCACACTGTCGATTTATACGTGAAGCATTAATACGTTTCGACTTAAAGGGTGGGGCGGTCGATTCATTATAATACTAAGACTTAAAACTCATGTCACAAGGCGGCTGGTGCATTGACGTTGTTGATGTCCATGGGCTCCGTTAACTCCAGGTAAACCGTGACCTTGTCCACCTACCTGAGCAAAAAAATATATAAGTATGTAAGCTTGGGGCTGCATTTAATTTTCGAAACTTTCATTTAGAATTGGTCGAATGTTTGTGTCAATTGTTATATATCACAATCCATACAAATATTCGATTAAATATAAAAATATCGTAGAAAAATATCCTTCGCCGTCCTTTTAGTGCTCGTACTAAAAATAATTATTGCAAGAAACTGAATAAATCCTGTCACAAGGCACAGTGATAAAAGAAAAAGGAACTCTTAGTCGGTACGCGAAAAAAAGTTATAGAAAAATATTTGCCGACGATATTTTCTTACCATTGAGCAGAATTTTAATAAGCAGAATGGCCGAGTTTATTCAGTAGCGTACAACGTAGGTATCAAGCTATCAAGGAGGGACTGATATATTCTGATATGACATGTGAAAAAAATATAATATAATAAAATAAAAATTAAGTAAATATATAATATCAAAAGATCAGCCCAGGTGTATAAAAGTACGATTCTTGAGAAGCCGGTTAAGACTCTTAACAACACCACACTCCACAACCTAGAATAGTCTATTCAGTAAGACTCAACAGCTGGTCACAAAGCTTAGTCCACACAAGCGTAGCTGGAAAGGTTTCATATAATAGAAAAGGAACGAGGTTCTCTTTGTAACAATATCTATGCCGAGACCAGGTAGGTATATTAATACGTGTTATTGCGAAGATAAAGAAAAATATCTTGTACAATGATATAAAAATTTACAGACAACAACAAAGGATTAGAAATATAAGAATAAAGATATAAATAAAGATAGAAACTAGCGTGACAAAATAAATATCTTTATTTGTATCTTTATTTATTTATAAATGGCTTTATTTATTTATAAAATTTATTTATAAATAAAGATACAAATAAAGATATTTATTTTGTCACGCTAGTTTTAAACAAGGAAAGTGAAGAGAGCAATCAGAGCATTGTGGTTACACAAGGCAATCACTACAACGGAAAATCGTCGTCGACGCGTTTTGATTTCCGGCAAATGTCAGGGAAATAGAAGTGTAAATTGGAAATGTTGCATCAGGCAAAGGGTTTCATTAAGTCTAAAATCTAGAATAAATATTTCAATGATCAAAATATTTTATATTTTATTATTGTTCACTGCTAATTTTACTTTGTCAAATTTGTCTGTTTCAACACTATTTATTTTCAAAAATCTATTTCAAGTCATTCTATTTCAAATCTATTTCAACATTCTGCCTATTTCTGCTTCGAAGCAAACTTAGGTTCCGCTTTAAGATTTTCGATTTTTCCGACGGAATGGAGATTTCGACTTTCCACTCCGTTTCAACATAAGCGGGTGCATTCATTGGCTCTTGTAAATAGAAAAATCAGAAAAAGCCTTTATTACTTAGTATCTTATGTATTTATTTCGTAAAAGCCTAATCAGATTTAGTTTAGTTATTTGCGCTATGACATGTCCTTCTTCAAACGAGGCTTGTGGAGAGTATTAAGCGGTGGGCAGCGGCTTGGCTCTGCCCCAGGCATTGCTGAAGTCCATGGGCGACGGTAACCACTCACCATAAGGCGGGCCGTAGGGGCGTATACAAGGGCAATAAATAAATAAAAATGTGTAATGAAATATATTTTAGGAATGGACTTGACCAACGCCACGGCTCTATGTCGGACCCGGAATCTGATGAGGAGAACGAAGAAGGAGATTACACCGTTTATGAATGCCCCGGGTTTGCTACCGTACGTATAGTAGTAAGCGAGCTACGTGTAGACTTTAAAACGTATACACAATAACAACTTTGTACGGACAATAAATAGTTATCATTGTTGTTAACTTTATATTATTGTGAAAATGAAATATCTTAAATTTATATTTCAATAATAAACTTTAGTATTTTTTTAGTTTCGCTTTATTTATTTAATTTTATGCACAAGAGCTGTGGACTTAATACCTAACTCTGTCAACCAAGGATGGTGTAGATAGTGATGTGGTGGTGCATTGCTTTATTTAATATATAACTTATATAGATATACCAAACACACGCATCATACGTACACATAAAATACAATACAATATTCAATTTATCCATTGTTTTACGCTTTAGTTAGCTATTTGAGCTCACCGTAGGCTAGAAACTGGTGTACAGATGACTTACACTTCAAATCGTACTGTTGATACCCCATAATCACTTCAGTCTATATCAGCTGGCTTAGCACATAGAAATGTATGCGCAATCACTTTGCACAACTGTTTTTTCATAGCAAAACCTACACTAGAAATAAAGAGCAAATTAGTTATTAGATAAAAAAACATTACTACATCATGTCTTACAAGTAACAGATGATAAAACTTCGAGCATAACCCTAGGAATATCCCAACTGAAACGTAATTATACTTCAAAAATAACTTAATCTCTTGGTCCGCTTTGAAACGAATGAATTCTTTTAAAAACTGAATTAATTATTGGTAAGTGTCATGACAACAATTTTCACCTCGTATAAGAATATCTAACTGGCATAAGAATCCAAGTTGAGTGTAATGTAATAATTTTTGGAATATTTTTTTGTCAATGTTACTTTGAATGATTATATTTATAAACTTAATTAAATTTACGTAAGCTGGAAATTAACGACACGTCTAAATTGTTAACTACCACAGACCGGAGACATGGAAGTGAAGAATCCGCTCTTCTCCGAGGACGCCACTCCTGCTACTCCTGGAAAGTGCGAGATCGTCAAGCAACAACCCAAAAAGTAAAAATATCGACAACATTCGTACATCCAGCATTAGCAACCAGCATCCTTTAAATCTAATATTACATTTATATTAAAATCTATTTTTTTTATCGTATATGTTAGACCATGATTGTCCACCTATGTAAGAAAGTAGTAAACGGATCCGAAAGGTGTGACAAGAATATTCAGAGGGATTACAGAGACAGTTTATCTATTAGAACACTGTTCATATTTGAAATATAATGTTTGGATTCATTCTGCTACTGCAGTGCGACGATGAAATATTATAAATATTAAAAATGCAACGTTAATTCGCTGTGTAATACCAGATTCATTACACGGTTTCTTAAAATTCAGACTGATAACTTGTTGATTCGTTCAAAACACCTGTTGCCTTCGTACGCTATTACAACTGCCTAAAATAGAAATTATACGCGAAAAGTCGTAGTTTATTTAAAAAGGAATTCTTTATTAAAATTTATATAATATATATATTTTAATGAAGCCACAAAGCCTGTGTTACTATACAGTTTTTAAAAACAAGACAAACCTAAATTAATAAACGAATTTATTTTGTCTACAAATTTAAATTGCATATTTAACCATTAAAGTCGAAAATTATTAAAATACATACTATTTTTCAAGTAAATCGTTTAAATGGCCTAAGCCAAGCAAAGCAAATAAAAGGTTATCTATTTTTATGTTAAACTGTTAAGTCAAATAAAACATATTGTTATTACATACACACACCAATACATAATCAATTAAATTCAGCAAAATAATTAACAGGTTCTTGCCAGAATTTTTACTATAGTAGAATATATTTAATATTTTATTAAAATATGTTAAATATATATTTATTGATAAACCTATTATATATAATATGAAACATTACCTAAATATTAAATCGCCTTAAATTGTTGTCAAAAATTAGTTATATAATATATCGAACAAATGAACTAGAATACACTACTTGGCACAAAACAAAAACATATCGTCTACAAATATTACCTTTACCTGTTTACGTCCTTTCAGAAATGGCTATTAAATATATAAGATATTAGAAACATGTGTATTACTGGGATGATATGTATTACATGAAATAAAGTTTTGAATTAATAGTTGTTTTAGGGTGCATGCTATTCGTATTAAAATTAACTTTAGTGTAATCATAATGTAAGCCATCCCAATGGAATTTTATCTGTAATCATCTCTATTAAATAATTGTAAGCTAATAACGTTTGTTCTCGTACTTGTTAAACCGTAGCAAATAATATAAAATAAATTGTTCGGGTCAAACCTGATTTTATTAATTATTTTTGGAATATTTTATGTAGAACCATTAAATCTTTCGTCAATTGCAATTGACTGACCGTCTCACTGTGCCACGGAGTTCATTAATAACATACCGTAGTCAATGAACTATAAAAATTAATACATAAAAACACTTAAAGAGAGGGAGGGAATATTGCAGAAAACAAATTTTTACACCCCCAAGCTTCCTGTATCCTCAGTTGTAATTCTTTAGAAGAGTCTACAACAATCTTATTCTGATTGTCAATAGTAATAGTAAGAGATCAAATGTTTCAATTTTTTTAATTTTGGTAGGGTTACAGTTAGTTTCACTTTTACACAGCTTTTTTTTTAAATAACCATAATTTTGGTTATTTAGAACACGAACAGAAAAAAAACATTTGTCGAATGCATAAACATGATTTTTGCAAAAAATAGATACGTAATTTTGCTTCTACGATAAAATTCATATATAACCTACACCTGCACATCATCTCCAAGTCTACTTATTTTACAGATTATAATACAGATGAAATATATTGATTCGTTAATTATAAATTTAATTAATATAAATATAATATGTATACAAAGCATGAGTTGTTTTTTATTTTTACCCGCTATCCACTCCTTTATTATCAACATAAAAGCTAATCTCCATTACCGTAACAAGAAGTAGGGCTCGTTCGTTTTATCTAGAACCACTAAGCTAGAGTTTAATGTTTCATTTAGAGATTTTCTCCTTTGAACCTTGGCGCTCTATGATAAGTGTTATCGAGCAACACTTCCGGCCTCACATAATAAATTATTTACGAACTTAGGAAATATATAGAACTTATTATTCTTATAATATAATTAGTAATTTCATAATCAAGTAAATAGTTCATTCATATTTCTTTATACTTATAATATTTTATTGGCGCCTTCCGCTTGACAGCTTCCGGCGCAATAAGTCTTAATGTTATTTGTTACATAATTCGATATTATTAAATAATAATTGTACGTAAATAATCAGCAGAATAATTAAGATGAACAATGTTTAATATTACCTACTCAGTTTGTATTAAAATAGGTCAAGATGATTGTATAAATACCGACGGTTAGCATATCTCTATTGCATTCGTATTCTACCCACCGTAACGTGTACTAAAGAGAATATATTATTTCGTGTGGAAGTAAATTGTCTCAATTGTCGCCGCCACCCTGAGGATCCGTTTATA